ATATAGCATCTGGGGTCTTAAGGGCTTGAAGATAAACAAGCGGCCTTCTAGCTGAGAAGCAACAAAGCCCACATGGAAGAAGCACACAGCCTATGTGATCACGAGGGGTCGATGGGATCAGGTATCAGGCATAAGAACAACAACAACAAAAAAGAACAAAAAAATCATATCATCGTGAATGAGGGGGAGTGTGGAGTGGAGACCCAAAGCCCATCTGTAGGCAACTGGACATCCCCTTACAGCAGTGTCACGGAGAGGAGACACCCTGCCAGTCAGGGTGCAGTGTAGCAACGATGAAAAAGACAACTTTCCTCTAGTTCTTAAATGCTTCCTCTCCCCCCACTAACATGATCCCAATACTACCTTACAATTCGGCTACACCAGAGGATGTGCACTGGTACAGCTAAGAACTAGAAATGCAGGGAATCCAGGGAGGATGATCCCTTCAGAACCAGTGGTGCGAGTGTCTTTTTAATTTTTTATGCAGTCCTAGTGGCGTAATGATGGGTTATAAGTTGGGCTGCTAACGATAAGATCAGCATTTTACAACTACCAGCGCTCATTGGGAGAAAGAAGGAGGCTGTCGGTTCCCATGAAAATTTACAGTCCGCGAACCTACAAGGGCAGTTCTACTCTGTCCTGCAGGTCATTCAGAGTCACAATCCACCCCGTGGCAGCGAGTTTGGATTGTTTTTATTTCTAACTTTTAGGTCCAAATTTTACTATAATTCTTTATGTTCCCACTGTAATGTTAGTCTACGCCAATCACTTGCCCTTCTCTTTACAAAAACCTTCCATTAAACACCAACTTCCCCTCATCTCATCACTAAATAGACCAGGTACAGCCCTTTTTACAGTCCTCCCTGAGGGATAATTTTTTCCTTCACTCTAGCTAGAGTTTTCAGAACGGTCTCTTCCCACCTTAGCTTCTGCTCTTCTAGGTTACCCGACTGACTGTGTTTCTGTAGCTTCATGCACTTGGCACTCATCTATGCATCCCTGGTGCCTAGCACAACACCTGGGACAATTGTGGAATGAAAAAAATAACACCCAAACTTTTCAGAGAAAAAGAAATGTTTATTACTTTAATAAACGTTTATTACTCCCCTTCTATCACCTCCTCTCATCTACCAACTTCCTGATTCACTGTAAATTCTGGTCGCCATCCCCAAGAGCTCTCCTCTACACAACAACCTGTTATCAGTGAGTTGATTCCGACGTACGCCAGCCCTACAGGACAGAGTACAACTGCCCTGGACATTCCTAAGGCTGTCAATCCTTCAGAAGCAGACAATTTCTTTCTCTCTCAGATGGAGAGTTGGAACCACTGACTTTTTGGTTAGCAGCCTAGCACTTAACCACTACACTACCAGGGCTCCTTCAATATACCATGTACGTAGATACCCACCCCCCCACTAGGACGCTGTCACCTGGGTGGGTCTTTTTAACCTCCAAGACGACCACATAGTTCCACCTGGCAACTCAACAACTCCATTTGAATGATCTGTAAGAATGTCAATTTCAAAATGCCCAGAGAGAACTCTCTGTCTTTTCTAAATCCTTATTTCGGAAATTAGTTCATGGCATCCCCTTCCACAGTACAGTATACCTTGAAATGGTCCATTTCTTTCTTCTTCCCAAATCCTGTTTACCTATTTTTGATCATCTATTTCAACTCAGTTTATTCTTCCTAATCCTCATGGTCACATCAGTGTAGAATGAAGGACATGGCTTTTGGAACCAAGGCCAATCTGGCTTCAGGTTTCAAATGCAACAAATGCTAGCCCTGTGGCTTACAGAGAGCTATGCCTCTGAGCTTCAGTGTGGCCTTTTGTAATAGGCTTGGCTCCACACACCAGGCAAGGGTTGTGGCAAAGACCAGAAAAAGAAATGGCGAACACCTGCTCTTCAGTTTAATACATAACCGGTGTTCTCACTTTGCTGCACAGTTCTTGGCACTGCTTTCCAGGTTAGAATCATTATAAACAAAACCCAAAATCGCAAAGCTGATTCACAGATAACAGTAGTGTTGGTAAGGGTGTGGTGAAACTGGAATCCTAACGCTGTGCTGTGATGGTGGGAATGTAAAATGCTGCTTTGGAAAACTCTTGTAGTTCCACACAAAGTTAAACACAATTCCCCGAAGATCCAGCAATTCTACTCCTAGGAATATACAGGAAATAAATGAAAACATATCTACACAAAAACTTTTAAACAAGCATTCATAGCAGCATTAGTGAGGGTAGCCAAGAAGTGGAAAGAACCCAAATGTTATCAAATGCTGAACAAATACACAATATTTGGTATAGACATACAATGGGATACTACCAAGCTACAAAAGGAATGAAGAACTGATACATCCTACATATCACAGATAACTCTTGAAAACATTATGCTAAGGGAAGGAGACCACTTGCAAAATGCAATATAGTGAATGATTCCATTTCAGTGAAGTGTTCCGAATGGACAGATATTTAAAAACATAAATAAACGATAGCTGGGGAGGATAAGGGGAAAAACAAAGGGCGATGGCTAAAGGGTATCCGGCTCCTTCTTGGTGTGATGAGAATGGTGTGGCGATTGCCTAACTTTGAGACTATAGCCCAAACCATTGCATTGTGGATACATTTTATGGCATATGAGCTACATTTCAAAAAAGCTTAAGAAAGACATTGGTCAGGCCACTCTCCTTAAAATCATGTTTTGGTTCCTCTTTGGCCTTAAAATGTAGCCTCAATTTAAGTTCCAAAGACATGTCCACTAGCCCCAATACCCTGTTTGACCTCTAATCAACCAGGGAAACAAGTTACCAAATGCAAAATTCTGTACCATAGTACGACTGGCAATTTTCTTTATTTCTGAACACCACGGTGGGCAAATCTATAATGACTATCCCTCCAAAGGAAGTTATTTACATTAATAAAATATGTTTAAATATAATATAAACTGATGGAGCAATAATTTATCAAAAATAACAACATAATTCTAAAATCATAGCTTTTTCACTGTTAAAAATGAAACACTGCTTTATGAAAATCTCTCATATAAAGTAAGAGCTTTGAGGGCTATGAATGCAAAATAATCTGTGTTTGTATGTTCTATGTGTTTGTATGTTGGAGAGAGGCTAAGGAGGAGCCCCAAAACCTAAATAACCTGCTGCCATCAAGCCAACACTGATGCACCTCCACACAATACAGGTTTCTTGAGACTGTAAGTCTTTTTTTTTTTTTAAAGTTAAAACAGCCCCTCAGGCATTTGATCCTGTTGCCAAGTCTCATGAACCAGCAAGTACCCCTCTGCAGATGGCCTGGAGATCATACTTCAGATAGAAAAATGACACATAAAGCGATCAAAGTCTCTAGTTCTCACAACAAGTTATCGTCCACACCCATTAGAATAGCTAAAATAAAAAACCAAACACTGATAGCACCAAAGGTTGGTGAGGAGGTAGAACAATGAGAACTCTGATACATTGCTGCTGTGGATGCAGATGTTCAGATATATCTGTGATACATTCTTTCAAGATAAGTACGTACCTACTCTATGGTCCAGCAATTATCCCCAAGTACTCAGCCAAGAGAAATGAAAGTATATGGCTACAGAAAGTCTTTAACAAGAATATTGATAACAACCTTACTCAAAATAGCCAACAATTGGAAACAATTAAAAAGTCCACCAAAAGGTGAATGAATGAACAAATTGTAGCATAGGCGAACAATGGTACACTGCATACCAATCTTTCAAAAAAAGAACACATCACTAATATACACGATCTAGCTGGATCTCAAAAATATGATGATGAGCCAAAGAGGCCGAAATCATTTGCAGCCAGCTTGTAGGCAGGCTTCCACATGTCCCGGTGGCCTAAGACCATGAAGAAAGCCAAATAAACACTTTCTGGACTGAACTGAGCCAAGCAGTGGCTAGCAATTCAGAGCAGGTAAAAGTGCAAGCCTTTACCCATGACTGGCTGGGCTGCTCAAGTTCAATGGTTTCAAATTGTCCTGTACCTGAGTAGAGTGCAGTGATCATGCACTATGATAACTGCTATGGACTGAATTGTCTCCCCCCCAAAATATGTGTTGTAAAGCCTAACCTCTAAACCTGTGGTTGATGGAGTGCTAGTGAGGTTCTCAACTTGTGGGTCGTGACCCCTTGGGGGGGTCGAATGACCCTTTCACAGGGGTTGCCTGATCCATAACAGTAGCAAAATGACAGTTATGAAGTAGCAACGAAAATAATTTTACGGTTGGGGGGCCACAACATGAGGAAGGGTTGCGGTATGAGGAAGGTGGAGAACCACTGGCGGAGACACTGGGCTTCTAACTGCCAGGTCAGCAGTTGGAATCGAGCAGCGGCTCTGATGGAGACAGATGAGGCCTTTTGCTCCTACAAAGATTTACCACTTCAGAAACCCCAAAGGGCTTTTCTTTTCCACTCTGTCCCACACGGTTACTATGAGTCAGAATCAACGCCATGGCAGCAGGATGGATGTGCCTGTGGACATGCTCTCATGTGGGACTAGGCTGAGGCTGTACATCTTTACAGGAGCAGACAGCTTCTTCCTTCAGTGTTCAAGTTTTCTTTACTCTTCCTTATTCATTGTTCAGTTTTTGCATGCATAAGGTGAAATTTTTGTTCTTTAACACAAACACACTAAAGAGGTCTTTTGAAGCCAACTTGCCTAATGCAAAGTCACTGAAATGAAATATTGGTGGCATAGCTGCCGGCATCACAGCAACATGGAAGCTACCACAGTACCCCACCCCTGAGAGACAAAGGACGGTTCTACGAGGAAAACATGAAAAAAGTCAGGCATGGTTTCCAAGTCAGGATACCAAAGCCCACTGCCACCAAGTCTATTTCAACCCTCTATGGTCTCTAACAGGAGCCCCTGCGGGGGCCTAAGGGCTGACAACTGCAAGGTTAGCTGTTTGAAAACACCAGTTGCTCTGTAGGAGAAAGATGAGTTTTCTACTCCTGTAAAGAGTTACAGTCTTAGAAATTCACAGGGGTGGTTCTACCCTGTTCTGTACAGCCACTATGAGTTGGCATTGACTCAATGGCCATGAGTTTTATGGTCGACAAAGTTTCAAAGGCTGTAAATCTTTATGGACAGATAGCTTCACCTTTCTCCTGAAGAGTAACTGGTAGGTTTGAACCTCGGACCTTACGGTTAGCCATCTGTCTAATGTTTACCATATAATGTTACCAGAGACCTGAATTTGATTCTGCATGTGATGTGATGCCTATAACATTTTTAATTTGGGGAAGTGGCAGAGTCGGATTTATGATCCTTGTGGCTGCAGTGTGGTTAAAGGAATACTGAGACATCAGTTGAGAACTATTGCAGTAGTCCAGGTGAACTAACAGGCCTGAACTAGGGTGGTAAAGTAGAAAGGGAGAAGTCTGGAGGGATAAGGACTATATTTTAGAGATGAAGTCAACAAAACTAAGTGATGACTAAATTGTATTTTAGTAGTGGATGACTTGAGGGCACTGTTGGGTAAGTACTGGATTGCTAACTGCTTTAAGGGCAGTGGTTCAAAGGCACCAGCCACTCCTTGAGAGAAAGATGAGGCTCTTTGAGCTCGTAAGGACTGACAACTTTGGAAACCCTATCCACTTGACAGCAGTGGTTGGGGTCTTTGGTTTACAGGTGAGAGAGAAAACTGGAGGAAGGTTTTTTTTAAGAGACATATTTACATGTGCTTGATACAATAGATGGATGGATGGATTGTGATAAGAGTTGTATGAGCCCCCAATAAAATGATTTATTTAAAAAGACATTTACAATACAAACATGCCTCTTTAAAAAATATAAACATACCTCTTTCATAAACTGTTCAAACTCCTCATCTAGCTCTTCTTTGGAATAGCGTGCCATAATCAGTACTGTCCACTTCTCAGAGTTAACATTCCAAAGAATTTACAGAAGGAAACACTATATAACAATAGAAATAGACATCATCTGAGGCAATTTAAATCACATCATGAAAACAAGTAGACTTAAACTCTATGCATTCCTCTTAAGACTTAGCTTATATCTACAATTATCAGTCAGTAAGCTCATAAAAGATGCAGGATTCCCTCAGCAAACGGATTTTGAAAAGGCAGCTTTCATAATGCTTTATGCTCAAGGCTCAGAATTACACTTCCAGTTTTAAATGTTCCACAGCATTTTCCAAATCTGTATTCGTATTAGAATATTCTTGTCTATGTGGGGTAGCAGGAGGGGGGGAGGGAAGGATGTAGCTTTAGGAGGTGGTTCTTTAACTTCCCTCACATAAACGAGGTACAAACATAGAATGATTACAAATTATTAAATAGCAATCCAACGGGCTTCTTTTTTTCTTTTCCCAAAGCACAGAATTGATGATTACTTCCTTACTATTCAGCTAGTTATCTTATCAACCTAGATTAAGGGTTTTACAAAACAGAATGTTTCAAATAAGAGGAAGTTTCCAAACATAGAGATGGTATCCATCTACTTAAAGTAGAATACACATCAGTACGGATTACATTTCTCGTGTAGGGTGAGGAAGCCAGAGCAAAGTATTCATCGAACACCAAAAATGAAATCCAGAGACTTGCAGTGCAAAGTCCCCCACCTTTTTAATGCACCCAACTTCAGATCTGCTCCTTTCAGGATTCTAACTCCTGGAGGTGCTCAAATCCCAGCTTTCTTTTGCAGAGGCTGGGAGTGGGGATGGAGGACCCCGATGACACCGTGCCTCACCTGCATAACGCCTTCTGACCAAATCTTGGCTCTGAGAGATTGGTCAGAGGAGGAGCCCAGCGAAAAGATCCCAAACTCGGCAGCGACCGGGCTGCAGAAAGCGCGGGCACCAAAGTTGGCGGGAAGACAAAGACTTATCTGTGAGGTCCAGGGCAGCCTGGCGAACTGACTGAGAAGCAGGATCTAGGACACAGGTGACAGGTAATCGTAATCCCAGTAGGAAGGAGCATCCACGTCTAATTTACCTTAGCCCTCTAGCCTTTTCCAGAAAGGCTGTGGGTTCCCAGCAGTTACCAGGGTAACAGACGTCAGCCGCTGAACGCCGAGTCACATGACCTGGCCGGGTCACGTGGCGCATGGACGACGGAGGGTCCGCCTTTACTCTCCTATAGGTCATTCCTACTCCGCGTGACAACCGGAACGTCTACGGCGCAGCCGGCCACCTGAAGGGTGGAAACCATCGCGGCGACGCCAGTCCACTCGACCAGAGTTTTCCTGCCCTTCTTCGGACGGTGGCTGACGGCAAACCTGGTGCGGAAGTGCTCGGCAGAGGCATGCTGGGGATTGTAGGCCCTGCCGGGGCTACTGGGAAGTGTAGTTTACTCCCCCTCTTGGTTTAGCGTGCTGTTCCTTCGCGTAGGATTTGCAGCGACCCTGTAAGCAACATTTCCCCATGATAGCGTTACTTAGGCGTTAATTTTTATAGGAACAAATCTTCGCATTCTTTTCTACCTAGGGGCCTCTGGTGGGCCCAACAGCTCCTTTCTGGATATTTGGAAAAAGCATGGATATTTTCCCACATTTAACTTGTCTTTTTCTCATCTTTCTCCACCCTTGTAGTTGGTGCTATCTGCTTGACAAGTTTTGAAGGAGTTTCATTTACTGGATTTTCTCTTGTAAAAGCAGACCCGTGGAACCTTTTGTCAGCCTAGAGCTATTCCACCATCTAGTGGACAAGAAATTGAAAACACGCACGCACCCCAACACGCACTCAAAGATAATGGTAATGGATTCCTTAATACTCACTCACTCACTCACTCACTCACTCACTCACTCACTCACTCACACATCATTTCCTAGTCCTTTCTTCCAAAAATGAACAAAGCAAAACTCGGGGTTTCACTGGAGACACACGACGGGAATTGTGCCCGCCTGACCCCACCACACCAAGGTGAGATGCCGGGGCGTGCATCAGAGCAGCAAGGGGAGCAGAGCAATGAAGTCCCCAGGGAACATCAAAAATAGACTGTGGGTCAGGGCATGCCACCCCATTAGACTCTACTGGAAAACATTCCTAAAGGACAACAAGTAGACCTTGAACTATTTATAGGCCTTTTTTTGTCCTTGGGTTTGTTGTTGTAGCAGCTATAGGTTTATTTTCTATTGTTGCTTTGTTGTGCTTGGTCTTCTGTTTGTTCATATTGTTGTCCCTGCGTGTCTATCTGGATGGGATACACAGGATTAACAAACCAGAATGGAAAACAATGGGACAACAGTTCTGGGGGGACATGGGACAGGGGAGGCGGTGGTGGGGTGGTGGTGGCGGGAAGGAAGTGGGTGTTAACAAACCCAGGGACAAGGGAGCAACAATTGACCAAAAATTGATGGCGAGGAGGGTATAAGAGGCCTGGTAAGGCTTGATTAAGGGCAATGTAACAGAGAGGAATTACTGAAATCCAAACGAAGGCTGAACATGATAGCGGGACAAAAGGAAAGTAAAAGGAAATAGAGGAAAGAACTAGGAGCTAAAGGGCATTTATAGAGAGCTAAATACAGGTATTTACATATGTAAATATATTTATATATGACAATGGGGTAGTAGATCTATGTATATATATTTATAGGTTTAGTATTAAGGAAGCAGATGGACATTAGGTCTCTTCTCAAATACTCCCTCAACACTTTGTTCTAATAATCTAGCACCCTAGATGCTCACCTTCCCAACACAATCGCTGAAGACAATGCAGGTGCATAAGCAAATGTGGTGAAGAAAGCTGATGGTGCCTGGCTATCAAAAGATATAGTGCCTGGGGTCCTAAAGGCTTGAAGATAAACAAGCAGCTATCTAGCTGAGAAGCAACAAAGCCCACATAGAAGAAGCACACCAGCCTGTGTGATCATGAGGTGTCGATAGGATCAGGTATCAGACATCAAAGACCCAGAGCAAAAATTCATAATGTGAATCAGCAGGTGGTGGCAGTTGCAGAGTGGAGGCCCAAAGCCAATCTGTAAACAATTAGACATCCCTTTGCAGAAGGGTCATGGGGAGAAGATGAGCCAGTCAGGGTGCAGTATAGCACCCATGAAACATACAGCTTTCCTCTGGTTCTTTAATGCTTACTCCCCACCACTGTCATGACCCTAATTTTACCTTACAAATCTGGCTAGACCAGAGCATGTACATGGTCAGAGATAAGAGCTGGAAACACAGGGAATATAGGACAGATAAACTCTTTGGGACCAATATTGACAGTAGCCATACCAGGAGGGGAAGGGGAAGGTGGGGGTAGGAAGGGGGAACTGATCACAATGACCTATCTATAACCCCCTCCCAGGGGAATGGACAACAGACAAGGTGGTAAAGGGAGATATTGGATAGTGCAACATGTGACAAAATAATAATAATTGATAAATTATCAAAGTTCATGAGGGAGGGAGGGAGGGAAAAATGAGCTGATACCAAGGGCTCAAGTAGAAAGAAAATGCTTTGAAAACGATGATGGCAACACATATACAAATGTGCTTGAGACCATCTATGTATGTATGTATATATGTATGTATGTATGTACGTATGTATTGTGATGAGTTGTCCAAATCCGTAATAAAATGATTTTTAAAAATTGGGGTTTCAGAGATAGCATTTAGAATGTTGTTGTTGTTAGGTGTCATTGAGTCACTTCCAACTCACACAGACCCTCAGCAAAACAGAAGGAAATATCTGGTTCGCCCCCATCTTCACAATTATTCCTATGCTTGCGCCCGTTGTCCAGACATTGTGTCACTCCATGTCCTTGAGAGCCATCCTCTTTTGTTGCCCTCCCCCTTCCTATTTATTTCGTCATGATGGCCCTCTGCAGGGAGCGGTTTATCCTGACATGCCCAAAGAATGAAGTCTGGTCAACCTGGCATCTCTTATCACAATCCATGCATGCATCCAGTGTGTCAAGCACATTTGCCCATATGCTGCCATCATCATTCTCAAAGCATTTTCTTCCCACTTGAGTCCCACTTGATATCAGCTCCCCATTATCCCCCTCCCTCTCTCACCCTTGCTCCCTCATGAACACTTGATAAGTTATAGAATATTATTTTTATAACTTACATCATCCTTTGTCACCCTTCACCCACTTTTCTGTTGTTCTTCCCCCTGGGAGGGGGTTATAGATTGATCCTTGTGATTGATTCTCCCTTTTTCCTCCCACCTTCCTCTTATCCTCCTGTTATCTCTACTCTCATTGTTGGCCCTGAGGGGTTTATCTATCCCGGATTCCCTGTGTTGGGGCTCTTATCTGTAGCAGTGTACATTCTCTGGTTTAATCCAATTTGTAAGATAGAATTGAGATCATGATAGTGGGGGGAAGGAAGCATTAAGGAACTAGAGCAGAGGTTCTCAACCTGTGGGTTGCAACCCCTTTGGGGGTCGAACAACCCTTTCACAGGGGTTGCCTAAGATCACCAGAAGACACATATTTAATTCCATATTGTTTTGTGATTAATCACTATGCTTTCATTATGTTTAGTTATGTTCAATTTATAACAATGGAAATACATCCTGCATATCAGATATTTACATTATGACTCATAACAGTAGCATAATTACAGTTATGAAGTAGCAATGAAAATAATTTTATGGTTGGGGGTCACCACAACATGAGGAACTGTATTAAAGGGTCACAGCACTAGGAACGTTGAGAACCATTGAACTAGAGGAAAGTTGTGTGTTTCATTGATGCTATACTGCAGCCTGACTGGCTCATCTCTTCCTTGTGACCCTTTGTGAGGGGATGTCCAATTGTCTGCAGATGGGCTTTGGGTCTCCACTCTAGGCCCCCTCCACCACCAATTAACATTGGGTATGATTTTGTTCTGGGTCTTAGATGCCTCATACTAAGGATCACTCTTGCTGTACTTCTTCCAAGACTGATTTGCTGGTCCTTTTGGCAGTCCATGGCACTTCCAGTCTTCTTCACCAGCACCATAATTCAACCCATTGCTTCTTCTTTGGTCTTCTTATTCAATGCCATGATTAATGATTCCCCTGGTTCTACTTCCATTTTCTAGACACAGAAAAATGTAACTCCCTTCTGCAGTGCTCACCGTTCATTTAAGAAGACTTAGTATTCTTTTCCTTTTTTCTATCATATTATGAATTGATGGTGGGTTGGGGTAGCATAAGGTGCAGGGAAGGGCCTATGGGGCTTTAATTTTGTTCAGCTTAGCAGTTTCTTATATAACTTGCGTATATTCCACCTGAATTTCAAGAACATCTCAAGAACAGATTTGATGCATTGACCATTAATGACAGAAGACCCAAGGAGCTGTAGGAGGACATCAAGAACACCATTCATGAAGAAAACAAAGGGTCATTAAAAAGATGGGAAAGACAGAAAAGATCAAAGTGAATGTCAGAAGAGACTCTGAAACTTGCTCTTAATCATAGAGTTGCTAAGGCAAATGGAAGAAATGACTATATCAAAAAGCTGGATAGAAAATTTCCAAGGGCAACTCAAGACAAAATAAAATATTATAATGATATCGCCAAAGACAAGAGATTTAGAAACAAGAAGGAAGAACACTCAGCATGTCTTAAACTGAAATAACTGGAAAAAAATTCAAGCTTCTAGTTGTGACATTGAAAGATTCTATGGGCAAAATATTGAATGATGCAGGAAGCTACCAAAGAAAATGGAAAGAATACACAGAATCACTGTACCAAAAAGAAATAGTCGGTGTTTTATCATTTCATGAGGTAGCATAGAAGCAAGAATGAATGGTACTGAAGAAAGAAGTTCAAATTACATTGAAACATTAGCCCAAACCAAAGCTCTAGGAATTAATAAAATATCAAATGAAATATTTCAACCAACTCATCTATGCCAGGAAATTTGGAAGACACTTGCTTAGCCATTGGGAGGAAGAGATCCATATTTGTATTCATTCCAAAGAAAGGTGGCCCAACAGAATGCACATATTATAGAACATTATCATTAATATCACATAAAAGTAAAATTTTGCTGAAGATCATCCAACAACAGTTGTAGAAGTATATTGATACGGGTTGCCCTGTTCAAGCTGGATTCAGAAGAGGATATGGAACAGGGGA